TCTGGTGCCTGCTGGGAAGTGTAGTTTCTCGAGCAGGTGGCAGTGTTTGGCTAGGATGGGCTGGGGGCCCCATGTGTGGAAAAGGCTTTGGAAGCAGTCACCTGTCCGGGAGGTGGCGGAGAAACCTGGCTTCCTGCTGCTCGGTGCCGCTGGGATTGGGGTCAGGTCTGAGGTGGCGCGGGGGGGGGGGGGGGGGGGGGGGGTTGAGGGGGAGAGTCACCGACTAGTCCCAGACAGGGTAGGCACTCCCAGCAGGAAACAGCGGCAAGGTCCAGAGGCCTAGGCGCCTGCACCTGTGTGCAGGGCGCGCAGGTGCGTGAAAAACGCAGGCCCTGGGGACCCGGTGGTGGCCCCTAAACAACCAGGCACAGTCAGATGTAACACATACACAGAAGCACCATCACCACCTGCAGGGTGGCAAGTGTAGCCAAGCAACAAAAAGTGGGCGGAGCAGAACAGACTTCAGATGGTCAGTTCTGGTCTCAAGGGGCCTCTGTAATGAGCTTGCATTCCGTCCTAAGTGCGGTCGGCACAGGTGCCCGCCTGACCCATAGCCCGGATCTGCCCCTTCATACTACTCCTGCTTCCTCATTTCTTGCGGCCGAAGTATTCTGAAGTAAACTAGGCAAACTACAACAAACTACCACATTTCATCCCTAATACTTCAACATGCATCTCAAAAGCGGTATCCTACAAAGCCACATTTATCATACCTAATAAAATTAATACCATCTAATACCTAGTCCACGTTCAAATTTCCTTAATTGTCCCCAAAATGTCTTTTATGGCTGGTCTGTTCAGAGTTCAGCCAAGGGTTACAGGTTTCTTCAATCATTTTTTTGATTCAGATGGAACCCCCCTGTCCATCTTCCCACTCACCCCACCCCTCCTTTTTGGTCTTCATGATACTGACCTTTCTGGAGTCCAACCCAGTTGTTTTCTGAGAGGCCCCTTCACACTCTGGATTTGTCTGAATGTTTACTCAGATGCTCTGCTCTCCAAGCTGCATCTCGGTAGGAGGCGCCCAACATCTGGCTGTCCCACGTCAGTGAGGCTGAAACCAATCACGGGTGAGGTTGGGACAGCCCGTCTCTGCTTTGTAAAGACGTTTCACGCCTCGTGACTACTAAGTAACCAATGGGGTGGTTTCTCTGCTGGTTGGTATCTTGTTTTGTTTAAATTAAGGTAAAATTCACCGTGTGTAGAATGAGTTTTGACAAATATATACACTCACATAACTATGGCCACAATCAAAAGAATACATTCCCCTTACCCCCCACCAACCTGGCAGTTTCCACTTCTACCCCACCTGCTGCCAACCCCTGACCTGCTTTCTGTCCCTATGGTTTTGGCCTTCTCCATGCTACCACATGAATGGAATCGTCAGTACGTAGCCTTCTGAGTCTGGCTTCTCAGCATGATTCGTTGAGACCATCCATGTTATGCTCATCAGCCGTTTTCTTTCGACTGTGGGGTAGTATTCCAGTATTCCGTGTTTATCCAGTGTTTATCCAGTTTCCAGCTGAGGGGCGCTGGACTGTGTGAAAGCATCCCTTAGCACCCCGCAAATACCGTTTCACATCACATAAACTTTTCACCTAATGGCTCTATCATCCCCAAGGATCCCTGCCTCAATCAAGTATTTAAGCAGGAATTACAAAATAGTGGTTTTTCTCTCACTCCTTGTACCTTAATGGGAATTCTTCTGTAAAGAAGAGCTTTACCTCTTTGACTAAGGCCACTTGATTGTCCTGAAATGTTAAAAAGACAGGATAAATTCTGTATTCCTTCCCTTTAATGATCAATTTTCAGACCAAGAATCTGGTGCACTAACATCCAATGGTGACAAATTAGGACTCATTTGGGGGTTTTTTGGTGCTGGTGAGGAACTTTTGTCTTTTATAGACTCTTTCCTATTATCGATTCATGGATTTTTTTTTTTTTTTTTTTTTTTTTTAACATTCAACACAAGTAAATCCATTGCCGTCTTTATCTTCTCCCCCATTTAATGGAGTACTTATCAGGCACCAAAACTATACACACACAGGAACATAATTCCCATCCTTAGGAAACTCAGAAGGGTAAAAGAGGCAAATGAGTAAATACAAAATGACAATGCCGTATTACAACAGCAGTGAGAGATGCACCTGTGCGATTTTGTGACAGCACAGAAGAGGGAATGCAACCTGGGAAATCAAGCAAATGTGAAATGTTTGAGGAAACTTAGAATTTCCTGTGACTTCCACCTGCTGCTTTTTGTTTATTCCATTTCTCTTTGGTCTTCCTCCTGCTCTCCTGTGGGTGACCTGAATTTTTAGAACTCGTTTGACTTATCAGTATGGGTTTCGAGTGCAATACATTGCACGGCCTTTGAAGTAGCTGTTCTAGATATTATACACACGTACTTGCCACAGTTCACTGGTGTTGACATTCTAAATGTAGGAATCTCACTCCCTTTCCCCCTTTCATGTTTATAATAACCTTGCGTGTTTCCTCTACATACCTTGAGAACCACATCCAACAATGTTTTATGTTTTCTCCAGCTGCTGAACATAACTTGAAATACTCAAGGAAAGTCTAACTGTATCCACAGCTTCACACCTTCCATCGTTCCTCCTCCCTGATGTTCCGAGATTCCTTATCATTTCCTTCCTGATCAGAGATCCTCCTTTCGCCTTTTTATTTTTAGGTTAGGTCTGCTGGTGACAAATCATATTAGTGATCCTTTATCTGAGAATATCTTGATTTTCCCCTTTTACTCTTGAGGTAGTTTTTGTGGAATACAGAATTTTCAGTTGACACTTTTCTTTCAGACCTGAAAAATGTTGTGCTTCTCCCTTTTGGCCTCTATGGTTTCTGGCAAGAAATCCACTCATGTATTTTTCCCCCCATAAGGTAACATGTCATTTCGCTCTTGCTGCTTTCAAGATTGTTTTCTTTAGTTTTCAGAAGTTTGTTGTAATGTTGTACCTCGGCATGGATTTCTTTGGGTTTAACCCATATGGGATTCATTCAGCTTCTTGATTCTGTAGGCTTGGGTCTTCTGCCATATGGGGGAAATTTGCAGTTATGATTTCTGTGCATGCTTTTTCTGTTCTGCCCTCTTTCTCCTCACCTTCTGGGACTCTGATGACGTGAGTATTAGATCTGATGTTACAGCCTGCAGGCTCCGAGGCCTCTGTTTGATTGTTTTCTGTGTGTTTATTTCCCAAACTAATTTCTGTTGTTCAGATTGGGTAATTTCTACGATTATCTTCAAATTTATGGATTCTTTCTTCTGTTGTTCAGTCCAGCTTATTTTTACTTTGATTGCAGATTTTTCTAAAACTTCTCATTCTTTGTATCTTCTATTTCCTTGTTAAGACCTGAGGCATTTTTATGACAGCTACTTTAAAATTCCTGTCATGCAAGTCAGGAGTTATCTTAGTGTTGGCATCTGTTGTTTTCTCATTCAAGTTGAGATCTTAGCTCTCGGTTTGTCTGTTTTTTGAATCCTGGACATTTGGGGTATTGAGACTCTGGATCTTATTTAAATCTTCTTGGAGCACTTGGGGGGTTCAACTGGTTAAACATCCGAGTCTTCATTTCAACCCACGTCATGATCTCAAGGTCATGAAATCGAGCTCATATCTGCTTGATTCTCTCTCTCCCCTCCCCTGCTTGTATGCAAAAAATTTATATTTTGTAGATGTACATACATATATATAACATATATGCATGCATGCATGGAAGAGGAGCTGCAGTTTCTCTGCGGTGTGACTGGAGGACAGCAGCTGCCATCTCTAAGTCCCCCGTCTCATCAGATGGCCCCTTTCCTGATCCCCTGGCTCAAGAGAGCACACTGCGGTTGGGGCTTTCGATGTGCTGGGGTTTCTTGGGTTGCCAGTCTCTAGCACCCAGCCCAGGACACATGGAGCAAAAAGAAAACCTAAGGATGGCTCTGCTCTGCTGTTCTTCAGTTCCCGAGGATCTCAGAGAATCTGCCTTCTCTTCACCTTGTAGAGTCTTCTGTCCAAGGTTTTCAGGTGTACTTAGTGGGAGAAACAGGAGAAAGTGCATCTGCCCCATTTTTCCAGAAGCAGAGGTCAGGACTGGAATTAGTCCTTAACTTTTTGATGCTTAAAACTGTCACATCTTTGGCCAGTGGAACGAGCTGGCTCCTCCTGATGGCTCTCATTGTTGTTTGGTAACTTCCCTGCACCCCAAGATGTTCTCAGGCCACTTGTCTTAGCTCAGGGTACTGTCACAAAACCCCATAGACTGGGTGGCTTAAACAGCAGACCTTTATTTCTCATAGTTCCAGAGGCTGGGAAGTCTAAGATCAAGGAGCTGGCAGATTTGGTTCTTAGTGAGGGCCTTCTCCTGCTTTGCTGTTCTCATGTGGCCTTTTCTTGGTACACAATTGTGGAGAGAGCCTTTCTCTTCTTCTAAGGGCACTAATCCCTTCATGAAGGTCCCACTCTCATGACTTCATCTAAAACTAATTACTGTCCGGGGCACCTGGGTGGCTCAGTGGGTTAAAACTAATTACTGTCCAAAACCCCATCTCCTAAAACCATCTCACTGAAGGGTTAGGGCTTCAACAAGGAATAGGGGATGGACACACACATGCAGCCCCTAACCCCACTCCTCTTGCCAATGAGCGGTTCAGGCACGGGCCCTCCTCTCTTCCAAACGAAGATGGCAGGAAGAGCGAGGCTCTCTCCTTTCTCTACTCGGGGCATCTGGCACTGGAGAAGTGAGCTTGCTCCCAGCCTGCAGACACGGCCAGCACAGGAGGCAGAGCCACAAACACTGCAGGACTGGGAGCTAGAACCCTGACTTTCCGATCTACAGACAAGATGTTTCATTTCAGTCCTCATTCTGCCTCACCCCTGACCTGCCTCAACCAGCAGCTGAAGAGAGAGAGCAAGTAATGGGCCAGGGAGGTCGGGATGTCACTTGGTTCCTCTCACAAAAACCTTTCATCTGAGCCAAAAAGAAACCTGCGCACGCACTCCTTTACACTTCAGTTTATTCTTCCAGCTCGTCAGAACTGCTGACAATGCCCTTCTCGGGGCGGGGAAGGCAATGCTCGAGAAGCCCTCAGAATCCTTATGCTGAATTCTCATGTGGGAACCTAGCAAGTCAGAGATCTGGGAGGCCAGGCCTCCAGGGTCCTGGAGTTGCGGCCACCCACGAAGAGGAGTTTGGAGGGCAGCGACGCAACACGGGCCCCAAACACCCTTCTCCTCAGCCCAGGGAGCTCATCAGGGTCTGAGCCTGCTTCAATTCTGCAGAGGGAAGAGGTGAGCAGGTGGGTGGCAGTCCGGTGGGATCTGGGAGGGCCCCTTCCCCTTCCAGGGACAACTGAGTCTCACCTGCAAGGAGGACCTGGAACTTGTCAGCTGAGAGCGACATGGCCACAGGCTGGGCTGTGGCGCCTGAGGCAGCTGCCACCTCCAGCTTCAGGTGCACCATGGGCTCTGCCACAGCCCGAAGCAAGCTGGAGCTCAGGGTGTAGTCCACCCGCCAGCCCACACCTGCCAGCCTGTTCACTGTGAAACCGGGTGGCTGTCAGGATCACAGGCTGCTGAGCTACACAGCCCTCGGCCCACACCCGGCTCCGCTCTCAACCCTTCAAGGCTGTGTGCCTTTGAGAACCTCTCCTCCCTCTGACCCAGGAAGGGGCTCAATAATCAGTAGTGAGATTATGCACAGCAGGTCTCAGAGGAAAGAAATCTGGGCTGGAGTCAGGAGTCCTGGCTCCGTGACTGCCTGACATGTGACCAGGGTTAAGTCTCCTTTCTGAGGACCAGCACCTCCCACGCAGCATGCATCTTCCAGAACGGAGCCCAAACTCCACCCCGGCCCCTGCCACACTTACCACGCAGGCTGCAGGCCCGCAGATGCTCCTGTAGGGGGCTTTGCTTCTCCTCATAACAGCGACACAGGCTGGCCGCGTGCTCTGGAGACAGAATGGAGGCCCCTTGATGTAGCCGGTGGGGGCTCAGACTGCTCACAGGGCCGGTGTCAGGCTCCCGGAGGGCAGGGCACATCTCAAAGCCACTCGGCCTGGCCTGCTGCCCCGTACCCCGCCCGCCTGCCTGCATACCCGTACCTTTGGGGAGCCCCAGCTGCTGCAGTTCACTAGACAAGGACTCGCCATCCACGCTATGCTTGGCCGCACTGGAGAGGATGAAACTCAGCACTGCCACCGTGGCCTTGACATCGCCCGACTCTGGGGGGACCCGTGGACGGGGTAGGGGGGTGTCACTGTGGCCTTGGCCACCTTGTTGCCCCACTATCTTCAGCTCCCAGTGCCCAGGCCTCCTTGAGCCATGAGCACAGCTACTGCCTCCCCAGGAACAGGCAGAGGGCGGGGCTGGCAACACAGCTCCTTCCCTGGGGCTCCTCTGCTGAGGCAAGTGCAGCAGGAGAGGCTGCTGGGAGGAGGGGCCTCTGTGCTAAGCCCCGCTGAGCTGAGCATCCACTGTGGCCCAAAGGTCTGCAGGACTGAGCGGGTACTCACCAAACCTGGCATCAGCGGTGAGCTTCAGGATCTTCTCGTACTATGGGGAAAGGAGGCCCTCAGGGTATGCCAGGCCCCTGCTCACCAGCCGCCTGCACCCCAGTCTGCATCCTGATTGCCCTCCCCCACACCACCCCCGGTTCTGGTGCACTTTCAGGGCAGTAAGGATCAGAGGGTCATGGGACAGTGGGGTGCTGGGCCCTGCACTCACGTCAATCCCCTGTCCCAGAAGCTCCTTCAGCACCTGGCTACACAGCAACCTCAGCTTCACGGAGGACTGGAGGGGAAGGCCTTGCATGAGCCAAACTGGCCCACCCCACCCCTCCATGCTGGGGGGCTGGCCACATGATTAGAGTCACACAGCAGGCTAGGACAAACTGAGGGCACTGAGGCCCCAACCTCAGAGGACCTCACCACCCTCCCTCCCCAAAACCCCTACCCTCAGTCCCCGCCTCCCACCCTAGAAGACCCCGTGCACTCAACAATCTTGGCCAGCGTGCTGATCTCCGCCAGGACCCAGTCAGGACAGTCCAGATCACCACAGAACCGGAACCTCTGCACAGGAGTGAGGCAGGCGGTCAGGATTCAGGGCTCAAGTGTGGCCAGGGGTCTCCCACATTACTGCTCTTCAGGAACCCCTGCTTCCTGTCCAAGATGGATGCCACTGGCCATTTGTTCTCTCCTATTACCAGGCTGTTTAGAGAACCCCCTCACAGACCCACCTGCCACCAAACCTTGCTCTGTTGCCTATCCTATGCATTCATGTGCTCAGAAAACACTGACTGTGGCAAACTTCTCTGTGGCAGACCCCATTCTAAGCGCTGGGAGTACAGAACAGAACAATGTCCTTGTCATGATGTCAGTGACCTATCACCTCCCCCGCCAGCTCCAGCCACACTGGCCTCCCTGCTATTCCAGCTACACCAGGCACTCCCCATCCTGTCCTTGCTGCCCCTCTGCACACCCTGCTCTCTCACCTCTTTCTGGTCTCCGCTCAAATGGGCCTTCTCTGACCTTCCTTCCTTCTTTTTTCTTTCTTTTCTTAAGATTTACTTATTTATTTGAGACAGCACGGGAACACGAATGGGGCAGAGGGAGAGAGAATCTCAAGCGGACTCTGCACTGAGCGCAGAGCCTGACCCAGGGCTCGGTCCCAGGACTCTGAAGATCATGACCTCAGCTGAAACCAAGAGTTGGACACTTAACCAACTGAGCCACCAGGCACCCCTGCCCATACTTTCTAAAACAGCCTCTTGTACAAAGGAGTTTCAGAGGCCAGTGGGTATGTTCATTATCTTGATCGTGGGAACATATACATTTCAGAACTTATTGAACTGTACATTTATATATGTGTGTTATTATTGATTTTATCTCAGTAAAACTGTTCAAAAATAAAATAGCTCTTCTGCATCATGCTTTAGTCCCTAACCTTCTTTCTTGATCTCCACAGAAGACATCACATTTATTATTTCCTCGAGGTCTGTCTCCTGTTAGAATGCAAACCCATCCTGTTGGCCACATCTTGCCAATATTCTCCACTCCCTGGATCAACTGTCCTTCCGCCTGTCTGCCCGGCAAAGCTCCAGAGCACAGCAACATACATGGCCAGCTTCCCACATCTCTTACATATGGGCTGCTTACAGATGCTGGGAACAAAACTCCGCAAACCAAGGACACCTCACACCCACATTCTCCTGGTTCTGCTGGGCCCTCAGTGCAGCCTGGCAACACCATATCCCCTACTTGCCCCAACCAGTCACCTTCTCGGTCACATCAGACCTGCTCCACGATCCTTCAACCACCAGCTCTCTTGCTGGTTTTGGCCTGAACCCCCAGCACTGGTGCATCTATGTGGGCTTCCCATGAAGTCTTCTAGCCGTGGTCCCAAATGACTGTCATTAAATCTGGCCTTCCTCTTCCCAACTCCTCAGCAGCATCCCACATGAACCTGTCCTCCCTGGTGAAGCAGCATACAGGAGAGTATTGTTCCCTGTCCTGGCCTTAGTCTCATTTGCTGGCTCACCCTCCTTCCCCCAGCCCCCAAATGGTGATCTCTGCGCACTGCCTGCATCATTACTCTGGGGCAGGGGCCTGGGACAACTGATGAGGTGACAGGGCATTAAGGATAGTCTTGCACTTCTGTCTCTATTTCAGGAGTTTTTCACCTTTTTCTGCCATAGCCTCATCTGGCATCTGGTGGAGCCTTATAGGCCTTTCTCAAAACCATGTTTTTAAATGCATAAAATACACAGGATTGCAAAGGGAACTAAGTTATCAGGACAGTCAAATTGGTGATGTGATGTTTCAAGTCTAATACCTATAACTTAAAAACGATCTGCATAAATATGTGAACAATGTCACCAGCTGTAATACGATACAAAAATAACTAATTTCTATTGGTGACAAAGTCAGAGGTGCTATGAATAACGGGCTGGCTGCCAACATTCATAATGGAAGGAAATGCTAAATTTCAGTTTGAAGTTAGTGAAAGTTAAGATGTGAGATTTTTCCTAAGTTCATGGGCCCCGACTTCTACTCACAGAAGTCATCTACCATCTCTGCGTTATCTACATTTTTTACAAGGATGTGTTCCTTGTGTAATTTCTTAAAATGCTGGCATTTCTCTAGGTTCTGCGCTAGGTCCTCTGTTCCCAATTCACATCACTGAGATGTTACATGTTTTTAGGCTTACAAGGATCATCTTTGTGCTGACTCCCCAATTTATAACTGCATTGTAGCTTCTCTTCTGAGTCTTAGACCCTTAAATCTAGACTGTCTTCTAGCCAGCTGCACCTGATAACTAGCAGAAACCTCACACAGAGCTGCCCAGCAAAGTTAACTTTTGGTCTTTGCACTAAAACCTGCTCCCCTTCCTATGTTTTCCACCCCACTGAGCACCACCACCCAGGAGCCAACCCCAGTCACCCAGCTCTCCCTTTTCCCTCATGCGTTTCCCCACTTCTATCTCCACTCTCTCCGCCCTAACTCAGGTCACCACCATCCCCTGGGGGTCTGCTCCCCTCCTGCTCCCTCCACAAATCAGCCAAGAGGATTTTCCTAGCTTCCCAGGGCCCTCTTCTTAAAGTCTAAACTCCTTTCAATGCTCTCAAGACCCAGAAGGATTTGGTCTTTGTTACCTGTTGAGCCTCATGTTTCACTAACCTCCAGGTGATACCCTTCCAGCTAGGTTATGTGCATCCTAGCGAGCCATGCTCTCTCTCAGCTGAATGCTGTTCTCTGAAGATAGAGGGCCCCCTCCCCAAGCCTCCTAACCCCTGGTACACAAACTTCACTGCAGCCGGCCAGTTCTCTTCCCTGCCCCCACGCCCTCCGGTTGCTGTCACCCTCAGGAAGCCTTCCTAATGCTACACACAAGGCACAGTTAGGTCCCCTCCCCTCAAGTCTTAATTATGCCTGCCAAGTCAAGCCTCCTGCAGCTTAAGCCCTAGTGCCTGGCACGCTGGATGGTGCAGAGGAGGCACTCAAAGTCTGTTGAAGGAATAAATGGATGGAGCTGTTGAGAAGTCCCAACCCCACGTCTACTCCTTTCTGGCTCTGGGAAGGATGGAAAGACTTCCGAACAGGGCGTAAGACTGAGCCTAATTCTATGCAAGTTGTTCTCCGGGTCGCACAGGAGGGCCGGGAAGAGGGCACCTCTGGGAGGTCGTCCCGGGGCGAGGAAGGCTTGGAAGCGCTCCCGTTCCAGTCAGCATCCACTTCCAGCCCTGGGGGGTGCTGGCCCTTCCTTCTCGCCGAGGAAGCACCGTGACTCCAAGCTCGCGGCTCCCCAGCCCGCCCGTCCTGCCAGCCGGACGCTCGGCCCTCACGACCGCACCCAGGTGTCTGCCGAGGGGCCGGGACTGCCTCCACCTCCCCGCCCCGGCGCTCAGTCTCCCGTGGCAGCAAAGGCGAGAGTCGGCGCCCTTCCAGCCCGCCACGGCGCCCCGCCTCCCCGCCTCCCGTCACCCCGCGGCCCTCACCATCGCGCCCAGCAAGCCGACCCGCGTCCTCCTCCGACGCGCGCGCACTGCTGACGCGACGGTCACGTGGTGTGGGCGGGGCCTTCGGGCCTGGGGCGAGCCCGGCCGGGTCGGGGGCGGGGCCGGGGCGAGCGCGGGTGGCCGGGGCTGGAGCTCCGGGGGAAGGTTGATGAGCTCACTGCCTGTCTCCCCAGAACCCCTTCCCGGAGGTGACCGGCATCAATCCCCCTCCCCGACCCGGTTTAGTTAGAAAAGAGGGCGTGGGAGTCATTGAATGTGTTGGACTTAAGGGAGCAGGAGTCCGGACCCCGGAGCACTTGGAATGATTCCTGTGTGAAGGGGGATTCAGGTCGGTCCCAGTTCCCCGCCAGTAAGCTGTGCCCTTATCGATACCTATGGGCTGTGGCAAAAGGCGTTTTAAAAATTTTCCTGAAATATGATACACATACAGAAAATTGGACGTATTGTAAGTATAAAGGTTAAATGAATTTTCATAAACTGTACAGCCCACATCGCCAGCACCCATATAAGGAAACATTACCAGTAAGCCACATAGCTCCTTCGAGTGCCTGAGTATTTTATTTCATTTTGATGAATTCCCTTAGTTGCCTTAGTTACAGTTGGCTGTAACAATTGACATGCCCAGAACTCTCCCTGTGGCTTCACCAACATTAGATCTTTATCTTAGTTTTTCTCAATGGAATAGGAGAAAAATAGGTTGTTTTAAGTTGCATTAGCCTGCTTACTGGTGAGTTTGAACAAAAGATGGACTAGGAAAACGAAGTTTCCAATATTCACTTAAAGAGGTTAAAAAAAACAAAACAAAAAAACAGCAACAGCGCCAAAAATACCCTAGAGAATAGACTAAAAAACCAAAGAAGAAATTGAACAATTTGAGATCTCTTTATTTTTTATTTTTTATAAACATATATTTTTATCCCCAGGGGTACAGGTCTGTGAATCACCATAGCACATACCCTCCCCAATGTCCATAACCCCACCCCCCCACCCAACCCCCTCCCCCCATCAACCCTCAGTTTGTTTTGTGAGATTAAGAGTCACTTATGGTTTGTCTCCCTCCCAATCCCATCTTGTTTCATTTACTCTCCTCCTACCCCCTTAACCCCCCATGTTGCATCTCCTCTCCCTCATATCAGGGAGATCATATGATAGTTGTCTTTCTCGGATTGACTTATTTCGCTAAGCATGATACCCTCTAGTTCCATCCACGTCGTCGCAAATGGCAAGATTTCATTTCTTTTGATGGCTGCATAGTATTCCATTGTGTATCTATACCACATCTTCTTTATCCATTCATGTTGATGGACATCTAGGTTCTTTCCATAGTTTGGCTATTTTGGACATTGCTGCTATAAACATTCGGGTGCACGCACCCCTTCGGACCACTATGTTTGTATCTTTAGGGTAAATACCCAGTAGTGCAATTGCTGGGTCGTAGGGTAGTTCTATTTTCAACATTTTGAGGAACCTCCATGCTGTTTTCCAGAGTGGTTGCACCAGCTTGCATTCCCACCAACAGTGTAGGAGGGCTCCCCTTTCTCCGCATCCTCGCCAGCATCTGTCATTTCCTGACTTGTTAATTTTAGCCATTCTGACTGGTGTGAGGTGGTATCTCATTGTGGTTTTGATTTGTATTTCCCTGATGCCGAGTGATATGGAGCACTTTTTCATGCGCCTGTTGGCCATCTGGATGTCTTCTTTGCAGAAATGTCTGTTCATGTCTTCTGCCCATTTCTTGATTGGATTATTTGTTCTTTGGGTGTTGAGTTTGCTAAGTTCTTTATAGATTTTGGACACTAGCCCTTTATCCGATATGTCATTTGCAAATATCTTCTCCCATTCTGTCAGTTGTCTTTTGGTTTTGTTAACTGTTTCCTTTGCTGTGCAAAAGCTTTTGATCTTGATAAAATCCCAATAGTTCATTTTTGCCCTTGCTTCCCTTGCCTTTGGTGATGTTCCTAGGAAGATGTTGCTGCGGCTGAGGTCGAAGAGGTTGCTGCCTGTGTTCTCCTCAAGGATTTTGATGGACTCCTTTCTCACATTGAGGTCCTTCATCCATTTTGAGTCTATTTTCGTGGGTGGTGTAAGGAAATGATCCAATTTCATTTTTCTGCATGTGGCTGTCCAATTTTCCCAACACCATTTATTGAAGAGGCTGTCTTTTTTCCATTGGACATTCTTTCCTGCTTTGTCGAAGATTAGTTGACCATAGAGTTGAGGGTCTATTTCTGGGCTCTCTATTCTGTTCCATTGATCTATGTGTCTGTTTTTGTGCCAGGACCATGCTGTCTTGATGATGACAGCTTTGTAATAGAGCTTGAAGTCCGGAATTGTGATGCCACTGACTTTGGCTTTCTTTTTCAATATTCCTTTGGCTATTTGAGGTCTTTTCTGGTTCCGTATAAATTTTAGGATTATTTGTTCCATTTCTTTGAAAAAAATGGATGGTACTTTGATAGGAATTGCATTAAATGTGTAGATTGCTTTAGGTAGCATAGACATTTTCACAATACTTATTCTTCCAATCCAGGAGCATGGAACATTTTTCCATTTCTTTGTGTCTTCCTCAATTTCTTTCATGAGTACTTTATAGTTTTCTGTGTGTAGATTCTTAGCCTCTTTGGTTAGGTTTATTCCTAGGTATCTTATAGTTTTGGGTGCAATTGTAAATGGGATTGACTCCTTAATTTCTCTTTCTTCCGTCTTGTCATTGGTGTAGAGAAATGCAACTGATTTCATTTTATATCCTGACACTTTACTGAATTCCTGTACAAGTTCTAGCAGTTTTGGAGTGGAGTCTTTTGGGTTTTCCACGTATAGTATCATATCATCTGCGAAGAGTGATAGTTTGACTTCTTCTTTGCCGATTTGGATGCCTTTAATTTCCTTTTGTTGTCTGATTGCTGAGGCTAGGACTTCTAGTACTATGTTGAATAGCAGTGGTGATAATGGACATCCCTGCCGTGTTCCTGACCTTAGCAGAAAAGCTTTCAGATATTCTCCATTGAGAATGATATTTGCAGTGGGTGAGATCTCTTTTCGATTACACATCCCACCCCCCATAAACCAGGCTCAGCTGGTTTTATTGTTGCAGCCTTTCAAGCTTTCAAAGGACAGAACCCATAGCAATTAAACCTTCATAAATAGAAAAAGATGGAAAGCTTCCCAGTTCATGCTAAAATCGATCTCATTTATAAAAAGCTTTTTAAAAATCATAAATGTCAGCATGTTGAAGTCAACAATGTGTTAAAATACTACACTATGTCAAAGAAAAACATCTTAAGAATTATAAGACAGGCTCAACTTCTGTTTCATTATACTAATAGGTTAAAGAAGAACACGGTTGATAAGACTTGGAAAACCAGTTTTGATTCAAAAAGAGAAAAAAGAAAAATTAGGAATAGGTGGAAACTGCCTTAAGTTGATGGAGTATTTGAAAAATGAAAGAGCAAACATGAGACTTAACATCAAAGTATTTAAATCTGGAAACTAGGCAAAAGGGTGTCCTTTTAATGTCATACTGAAACATTGTCTCACAGATTTGTTCCACAAATAGAGATTGACTATTTAGAGCAGTGGTTCTCAGACTTTTCAGTGTGTCAGAATCACCCGTAGGGCTTGTGGAGACAGAGGTGTGTCCCACCCTCAACGTTTCTAATTAAATAAGCCTGGGATAGGAAACGAAAACGTGCGATTTCCACAAGTTCCCACGTGGTGCTGATGCTTCCGCTTTGAGGACTATACTTTGAAAACCACTAATGTAGGAAAACGTACCTGAAAAGTTATGTGATAATTTATAGATTTCTGTCTAGGAGAAAAGATAATCCCAAAGAGTACAGTTTTATCGCCCTGTAAGACATCAACAAATTTTCTAATTGGGCACACTAGAAATGCTTCTCAAAATGTTACTTGAACTTGCTTTACCATCTTACTGAGTCCTTTTTTTATTATTATTTAAAGATTTTTATTTATTTATTTGACAGAGAGAGATCACAAGCAGGCAGAGAGGCAGGCAGGGGGGTGGGGGAAACAGGCTCCCTGCTGAACAGAGAGTTTGATGCCGGGTTCCATCCCAGGACCCTGAGACCATGACCTGAGCTGAAGGCAGAGGCTTTAACCCATTGAGCCACCCAGGCGCCCCCCTGAGTCCTTCAATGATTAAATATTCAACACTCATTCTTTCATTATTTGTATGACAGTCATGCTTTTTACTTTTTGCAGATTAAACTTTGAGAAAGTATACTAGCCCTGAACAGGAAATACTCGTATATTTCAATACTAGACGAGACCCATTAAAGTCTGGAGCAGTTATGTGCCAGCATTACTGTGATCCACATTATTCTAGATGCTTAGGCCAGTGGTTCTCAGCTGGGGGTGATTTTGCCTCTCAGGGGTATTTGGTAATGTCTGGCGATATTTTTCATTGTTACCACTAGGGAGTGCTGCTGGGATCCAGAAGACAGAGGCCAGAGATCCTCCTAAACATTCTACACAGCTCAGGACAGTCCCCCATAATGAAGAATTATCTAGCCAAAAATGTCAATAGTGCTGGTGTTAAGAAACTCTATTCTAGATAAATAAAACATGGGAAAACCACTAGCATAAATGTTGGAAAAGAAAAAAGCTCATATTTGCAGATGACAGTCTATCTGAAAAATCAAAAGAAGCGCCTGAAGAAAAACTAGAAGTCACAGAATGCCAGTTGCCCGGGGTGGGGGGAGTTGGGATGACAGGGGTGGCAGGGGGGAGGGGGGGGGGAGCGGTGTGAGGTGGAGCATTGCGTGAGGCTCCCCAGGCCTACCTGGGGCAGAGGAGAGTCAGAAATCCACAGATAAGCACTCACTTGTCCTAGCCCCATCCACCTCACAGGTGGAGAGCTAGAGGCAAGCAGCGGAGCCCAGGCCACATCTGTCTGACTTCCTATCAGCCTGCGAAAAAGCCAGAGGTCCAACTGGAAGGTCTTGAGAGCCCTGGCCCAGTTCTGGTTTCCCTTATGGAAGTGAGGCTGGAGGAGGGGCAGGGT